CAGAAGGACGGTAACTGTGTGGTGTGGAAGGTGTTAGAGGGAGGCGTGGGGAGCTGGGTCCCAGGGCCGGGCCGGGGGGGCATCAGGAGTACTCCCCGGACAGGGGCCTTGGGCAGAGTCCCGCGGAAGTGTTCTTCGAGCTGTCAGAGTGGCCATGAGCTCCTAGATGCGCTTGGGCTCTGTGTTTTTGTTACCTGGCTATTGCCCTGCACGAATTAGCCAGGAAAAAAAAACAAAAACAAAACATCTAAAAGCAAAGTGCATCTGGGCCTGTCAGTCCCTGGAGAATGAGGGTCCGCAGGCACTGAGTCTGGTGGGCGGCAGCTGGGAGAGGAGGGGGCCCGAAGGCTGGGGCCTGAGCCCAGCGGGATAGTCCCGCACGGCCCTGTACCAGGAGCAGTGTGGAGACAAGCGTGCATCTGAATCGGGAAGGCGGGGCTTGTTCAACCCCCAGCCTCAGACATTCGGATTCCTTGCGTGGGGCCAGGAATAGGAATTTTTCACCAGCTCCCGAAGAAATGCTTCTTCGGGGTCAAAGCTCCCTCCCTGCCTCATCTGCTTCCAGCCTTCAAACAACCTGGCTCCCAGTCATCATTGCAATCGTTCCCTCCGTGCAAGAGAGGCACGGGTTTGCTGCGGGCTTGCTCAGGACCACCTTGCTCAGCACCGGTGGGAGCAGAGGGTCGGGCCCACAGGTTCCTTCACCCCCCTGCCTCCCCAGACCCACCTTCCCAGCCCGGCCTGGGGCCCTTACTATCTGGGAGGGAATAAGAGGCCTGATCCAGTCTGCAGACGGTGCCTGGCAGCCTCTCTGGGAGGCTGAGGGAGAAGCAGGGGCTCGGAGAGAAAACTCTGGAAGACCCCACCCCCACCCCAGGCGTACAGCGAATGCTCAGCTCTTAGCATAATGGAGTTGGATGAGCCACTCAACAGTCACCGCTCTCCAGCAGGCTGGTGTGCGCATGCATGCGTGTGAACACATGTGTGTACGTGTGTGCACGTGTGTGTGTATATATGTACGAGCAGCAGCCTGGGTATAGGCAAGAGTGATTCATTATCTGCATTCTGTGTGTCTTCACGGAAAATTGGACTGGCTTCTCTCAAGTGGCCCAAGGACCTGGAATGTTGTACCAGTAGCTGTTGCTGCCTTGGTGTCTGTCGCCTCCCCTCCCACCTCATGTCCTGTGGAAAGGTGGGAGATGGTCCGTTTCGGGGTGCAGCTCCGCAGGAAACCAGAGAAGGGTGCTGATGTCACGTGCTTGCCGTCCCCAGTCCCTGCCAGCAGCAGGTGACTCTCTGACTCTTGGCTAACTGAGATGATACTTGCAGAGGGTATAGAGCAGGGTCACGCACACAGCAGGTGGCTTCCAAGTGCTACCTGGTATTATTACTGTTACCCACCGCCCCAGCACCTTGCACGGGGACGCAGGTGCTGACAGAGGAGTGAGACTCGGCTCTGTGAGTGGGACACACTCTCCCGCCACTGGAACTTTGTTCATAATCTTCGCCCAAAAAAAAAAAATAAAAAAATAAAAATAAAATAAAAAAAAATCTTCGCCCAGTTCTGTCCTGTTCTTCCCTCAGATCTCGGCGTCAGTGCCGCCACTCCGGAGCTCCCTCTGGACCCCCGGCTGCAGAAGGTCTCCCCCAGAGTCTCTCTAGGTGCCCCGTTCTCTTCCATAAGTGGCTTCCAGCTTCTGCCTTTACCACCTCGATCCCATTCCTATCCCCTCCTCTGCTTTTCTTTTCTTTTCTTGATTTTTAACATTTTTTTTCCAAGAAAACAACTTTTTATTTTGAAGCAACTTGAGATGCATGGAAAAGTTGTAAAAAACAGTGCAGAGAGTTCCCGGGATGGAATCATCGTGCGTAACCATGGCGTATTTATCGAAGCAAAGGAATGAACGGCGGCATGGTGTATGTTTATTTGTACCTCACCAGTTTTTCCACTAATGTCCTTTTTTTTTCCCTCTCTCTCTTCCCGGATCCTGTCCAGAAAACCACATTACATTTCATTTCCACGTCTCCTCAGTCTCGCCTGGGCTATGACAGTTCCCCAGGTGTCTTGGGCTGCTGCTTAGAAGACCACAGACAGGCAGCTTATAAACAGCAGAAATGTCCTACTCACGCTTCTGGAGGCCGGATGTCTGCGATCAGGGCCAGTGTGGTCAGATGAGAATCTTCTTCCTGGTCACAGGCTTCTGGGTGTGCCCTCGCACTGGAAAGAGTGAGGAAGCTCTCTGTGGTGTCTCTTATGAGGGTACAGATCCCTGGATGCCTGGGTGGCTCAGTTGGTTAAGCATCTGACTCTTGATTCAGCTTACGGTTCATGGGATCAGGCCCTGCATGGGGCTCCACACTGGTAGTGTGGGGCTTGCTTGGAATTCTCTCTCTCTCTGCCCCTCCCTGTCTCGCTCTCATGCTCTCTCTCTCACTCAAAGTAGATAAATAAACTTAAATATATATATAAATCTCATCCATGGAGGCTCCACCCTTGTGACCCAATCACTTCCCAAGGGCCCCACCTCCAACACCATCCAACTGAGGATTAAGGTTTTGACCACTGAGTCAAGGTAGTGGGTGCCAGATCGCTCCACTCAGCATGACTCTCCATCCCTCCCTGGGCTCTTACAGAAGCAAGTCCCTAAATCAAGCTCACGCTCCACAGCACTTGTCACCAACGAATGTGCATTATTTACTCTGCGTTCCTATTTTATTCTTTGATACGTTTTTATTTTATTGTCTGTCCATACAAGAATGGAGCTCACCAGGGCGAGGATTTTTGCAGTTTTCTTCATTTATTTCCAACACCCAGGATGGTTCCAGAAACACAATGGCCATTCAGTAAACATCTGGGGACGAACAAACTGTCCTCACCAGTTTATAACCCTATTGAATCTGTTTGTTTATCTGGTTGTGGCCAGAGCCCGTGTCCGCTGGGCTCGCTGCTGTGCCCGTGTATTACTTCCATGCCCGAGTCCCCTCCGGCACCCACCAACACTGGCCTTTGGGTGAAAGAGCTAAATAAGCAAGAGTGGGCCGGGCAAGGCTGCTCATTGGTTGAGAAGTGTTGCTTCTTGGAGTCCAAGGTCATGTTTCTGGTCTGAGTCTCTGCAGAAGAGGTGAGGGAAGGAGCCCTCGGCTCTAGATTGTCCTCTGCATTCTGGTTGGGGGGACGGGGGGGGTCACAAGGGAGAGGTCCTGAGAGTTCATGTGGCCAGAGGGGAAATAAAAGTGCATCTCCTAAGAATAAGACTGACTTGGCAATAGATGCAGGAACTCAAAGGGAATGACTCTCATGGGCTACATTGTGTCCCCCACTCCCAAGTTCATTAGGTGAAACCTTAACCCCCAGCACCTCAGAATGTGGCTGTACTTGGAGAAAGGCCCTTTAAAGAGGGGATTAAGTTAAAATGAGGTCAGTAGGGTGGGCTCTGATCCAGTCTGACCTCCGGGGAGGCTGGGAGACCTAAGAGGAGGTTAGTACACGGAGAGGGAGGACCATGTGACGGCACAAAGAGAGGAGGCCACCTGTGAGCTCAGCCAAGGAGAGGGGCCTCAGGAGGAGCCTGGATCTCACACTCCATCCTCCAGGACTGTGAGAACATTAATTTCTGCTGTTAAGCTGTCCTGGCGGTGGCACTTCGTTACGACAGCCCTGACCTACCACAGTGGCTAAGAAACAGGGTCCTGAGGAGGACAGTCATGCCTCTATGTGTGGTCCCGCAGACCCATTACCTGATTTCACCAGAAAGGATGGACCAGGTCAATTAGAGAAAGGGTGGGCGGGGCTCTGGCGGAGGAGGTGTGTGGGTGCGCGCGCGCCCCCTAGAGGGCTGAGTGGGAGCGTCCGCTTACAAGCCATTGGGAGTGGGAGGGACACAGGGGTTCTGGGGGTGCCCGGGGTGTGGCGCGGACGTCCAAAGCACCCGGAAATCGGATTAAGAGAGAAGAGAGAAGAGACAAACCCCAGCCTTGCGTTCCGGGTCCCTGTGCCCCGACCGCAAGCGCCGGCTTCACCCGCGCTACCCTGGTGGGGAATGAAGTCGCCCGCGGCTCCCACCCTCGCTCAACACCCTTCTCCAGCTCTTCCCTCCGCTGGAGTCCCATCCATGTTCCCAACCTGCTGACTGTTCAAGACCCACTTACTCCTCCAGACCAGCTCAGTGCCACCTCTTCCGAGAAGGCTTTCCTGACCTCCCTCCCTCCCCCTCCCCCCAGCTGCTATATCATTTATTCAACGATCCCAGGATCCTGAGACAATTGCGTTACATGGCCTGCAATGCCAGTCAGCAGGGGACTTCAGTGGTGACACGCAGCCGCCCCAGAGCCCATCCCAGCCTCAAACACAGCAGCTGTTTTGGGGCCACGAGCCCAGTGACCTTTAGGCATCACTGGACCTTGGCCTTACACTCATCACACAGGCAGGACCTACCCCTGACCTTGGACTGGTAGAGTAAACAGTGAGAGAAACAGCTGCCGAGGCAGAAAATGCATTTTGCAAGGGTAAAGGCACGTGGGAGCAGATTTGACCCCAGGAGGAGGCCCAATCCTGAAATCTGTCCTGAGTTCGAGACACAAATGCAGGTGAGCTCTCTGGGCCCAGCTGCAGCCGAATGTCCTGCCTTAAGCCGTCCCAGTGAGCCTCTCACTGCCCTCGGTCTTGGGGCAAGCGCTTCTATCCCCTCTGTGAAATGGGTGCATGGATATGCTGTGCAGGACTGTTGAGGGATTCAGGAGGTCACAGCTGCAAAGTGTCCCCAAGGGCCGGCACGAAGTAGTTGCTCCGTACTTTGGGGTGGACTCAAAGCTTGGGGTTCTGACCTTGCTTGTTCGAAGGGGCATCCTTTTGCAATACATTGCAGACTCTGGGATCAGAGTGGTGGGTGCGGCCTCATAGAAAGCAAGGTGGGGACATACGGGGAGCAGGGGGTAAGCACTTAGACTTGATAGGTGATAAGGCGTAGTGACTTTCAGAAGAAGAGAGAGAGTAAGCTTACCTGCATCGCAGGGGAGCCCATGGCTGAGATGCACTTGACCCAGGCATCTGGTTCTTAATCATGTCTTCCTTGCAGCAGAACACAGAGCTGAAAATGTGGGTCGAGAGGCCACACCCCGGGGGTGGGTCAGATCCTGCCTCCACCCCTGAGAGACTGTGTGACTGTATAAGCAGCCTTATACAGCCTTGTTCTCTGCAAGCCTTGCCTTCCTCATCTGTAAAATGGGGATAAGAGCGGTACCCGCCTCACAGCAGACAAATGCAACCACACACAGGAAGCACCTAGCACCAAGCCTGGCCCGTGGAAGGCTATTGATGTCCCTGTTCCCAGAGTTACTTCCACATGGACAATGACACTCAGTGTTTGCAAAAGGCTTTATTGTTCTCACTGACACTGCAATTCACTGTTAGCATCAATGTCTTTAGTTGATACTCTGGTATTTGCCACAGGCCTCCCGACCCCAGCCAACGCCCGGAGGTTGTAACTGAAGCCACAGGATGGTTTGATGCCGTGATGGGCCATTACCACGCTGCTGTCCACTTGCTGTCCTTCATTGACAAGTAGCACTTGAATGTAGTAAAACCCACTGTGACTGGCAGGGACACTCCAGCCTCTTTATATGATGTCATGGAGCCTTCAGCCCTTGACCTGACCCTTCATTGTATACATGGGGGAAATCGAGAGGGACACCATTACCCCAGTGTCCCACAGCTGGTTGGCCTGGACAGAAGCCCCATTCTAGACTCCCATGTCAGTGTTCTTTCCAGCAGATAAATGCAACCACGCACGGTAAGCATGATGAATTTCAAACCATGATGAACTGATAGCTGGGATTACCTGCCGGTGGAGGCCTCGGCTTGGAAATACACTTCTTGGTAGAAATGTCGACCGCAACAATCCCTCAGAGCTTTGTGGCCCTGGGCTGGGCGTCAGGTGCCTGGGCTCTGGGCGTCTCTCTACCACTCACATGCTGTGTGACCTTGGGCAAGTCAACCAACCTTTCTGGGCCCCCAGTGCTAGACTCCACTGATGAAGGGTGAGGGCAAGACCAAAGGCTCTTCTTCCAGGCCCCCATACCTTGCAGTTGTGTGAAAAGAAGCCATCATCCGTTTTTCAATGCTATTATTGTTATTACTTGTAAAAGCTTCAGTAGTCAATGAAACCTGCGTAAATCATCAGTTCCCAGCAGACAGATGCCACAGTGAGCCTTCAACTTCTGCTACGGAGGCTTGTGGCCTTTCAGGGGAAACACCCCCCTCAGGGGTGGGTCACTTTGCCAACGAAGAGGATGTTGGTGAAGTTCTCTACAATGAGCATCATAAATGGCCTGTTGAAGATGACCCTTTGAGAGCTAAGTGCAGCCGACCTGAACATGAAGATCATCTCTGTGGCTGCGGCCGCTTTGGTCCCCGACTCGTCCACCTCCACGACGGCCTTGTGCACCATCTGCAGAGCAGACATCACGTGTCACTGAGCCACCGGGGCTGGAAGATGCCATCACTAGAGATGGCAAAGCTGCTGCCTGTGGCGTCGCTGTCCAAGTGTCTGTGCAGCTGCACCACGAAGCATGTAGCAAATGACACAATTGTGTGGCTACTGTGTACCAGGGTCTGTGTCTGGAGGTGACTGGGCAAGGGCCTGCCTTTGAATGCTCACAGCACCTTCCAGCAAGGATGTGACTCTCCAATTTCATATAGAGAAAAGAGGCTCAGAGAGGTCAAGTAATTGTTGGAGGTCACACAGCTAGTGAGTGAAGGAGGTAACACCTAATTCTTAGTTTTGATTGCTTAATACAGGCTCCTTCCCCCAGGACACATTGCACATAGGATAAGACACAAAAGGATACCTTTGCTTCTTGAGAGAAGAAAGGAGAGTGAGAGAGAGGGGGAAAAATATGGAATGTGGAATGGAATGGAATGGAGTGGAGTGGAATGGAATGGAGTGGAGTGGAATGAGAGTGGTGGAGTGGAGTAGAAAAGAATAGCACAGAATAGCACAGCATAGCATAGAATAGAACAGAAATCTCTGAAAGCAGGGGCTCAAGAGCTTCTGAGCTCACCTCAGACACCTGGATGCAGTTGGTGCAGTTGGTGATGCCCGTCAGGTCAGCATGGGAGGTGAAGACATCATTGATGCCCAGCTTGGGGAGGACTTCCTGCAGCTGATAGGAACCCTCAATGGAGAACTTGGGAAGGTAGAGCTCAAGCTGCCTGGAAAGAGGAGAGGAACTTTCTTAGACTCTTCCAGAGCATCAGCTCACTGAGCTCATATCCCTGCTGTCTCCCCTTGGCTTCATAATGACCCTTCAGCCCCTTGTCTAGAGGCCCCCCACTCTGCACTTGGACCTGGGCTGCCCCCAGGACTCCCCGCCCACTCTGATGGCACCCTCAGGACATCAGGCGTCTGGCCCTGTTCCTTCCAGCTGGGCCAGGGCCCCAGGGGCTGGGACTTCACATAGTCTCTCTGGCCTTGGGGGCAGCTCCCGGGCTGGGGTGAGCCCTTCCCACTCCCGCCATGTCACCCGGCGGTGTGCAGGCCAGGCTGGGGCCCCACGTCGTCTGAGGAATACCTCTTTGTGAACATCCTGAGCCACCTCCTCAAGGTCCTCTCATTCAGTCCGTCCTCCAGCTGCCCCATCCTGCCCTGGCTGGGGAGAACGAACAGAGCGGTGGCGTTGCCTTGGTAGGGAACCCCCACCACCCTGCAGGAGAGGCTCCGGTCCAGGAAGTAGTAAAAGTGGTCTTCGCACTTCATCATGGGTACCTGCACCACCATCTCCGAGGTCACGTGGAAGTCCTGCTTACGGGTGTTTTTGAGGCTGAAGCTTGTCTCCCACTTGGCTAAATATTGAAATGGATAAAAGAGAGAAATTCTCAGCCACAGATGAAAAGCGTAGAGACGGTAAACCCATCCCTCAGACAGATCTCACCCTCCTCAGCGAGGCCTCCTTGGTGCTTGTGATCGCCAAACCCTTAGGAGATAAAGGCTTGCCTTTCTAGAACTTCGGGGACATGCCTGAGCTTTCTGTGGGGCTTTTCCTTCCACGTGTGCAAAGCCAGGAGGCTGGTTTCCATGTCTTTGGAAGCCCTTAACCACTAATGTTGCTTGTTTGACTCTCTGGCATTACTCAAGGTCAACTATCCAAGGGAAGAAGGTGAAAACTCTGGACGGCTGGCACTCTACCCAGCTGAGTTATTCTGTTCTCCACTCTTCTCCCATGTTTGGATTTTGAGCTACATTTGGGAGAGAGGTTTGTAAGGTTCCTGGAAGTACACAGTTCTTCCTACTGAGAAGCCTTCAGTTACGCTTCCTGCTCTGTCTGATTCCTGCATTTTCGCATCAACGGGATACAAGTAGTTGTTTCCACCTTCTTCATAACCATCAAATACGGAACCCATCCCTGTGCCCCACTTGGCTTCTGTCACAGCTGTCCCCTGCAGCCTGGTGTCATAGCAATGGCCCTGCACTGGGGGACAAGAAATCTTGGAATCCAAGCTGGATCTTTGCCATTTGTGCTCTTAGGCAGAGGGGAGGTGGTTAACAAGTTAACTATTTTCCTCTCTCCTCCCTCCCTTCCCCTCCTTTATCCACTCCTGCCTTCCCGTCCTCAGCCTGGCCCTAGACAGGCACCGAGGGACTCAGCGTCTAGAAGGAGAAGCAGATGTGAGAGCCGGTGCTGGGGAGGGGTATCCCCAAGAAATGTCAGGGAGATGAGCTGATATCACCTCACACCATAAAAAGATGTTTGTCTTCCCCTCGGCTACTTGTTGGCCTCCCTCTGTCGACAGGCACCAGAAGGGACTAAATCTACTCTCACTCCTGTATATGTGGGGACCAGGACAAAAGCAGCAGAAAGGAGAGAGCTCAGGCTCGAGCACAGGGGTCCTACCTTTAAAGAAAATGTAATTCACCATCACCATGACCTCAGTGCTGTCTAGGTCCTTAACCAAGTCCTCAATCTTGCCGTCTGTTTGCTTTGCCACGTAATCGTTGATCTGCTTCTGGGCCCCTGCGGGGTCCCCAAAGTTGGTGGGGAAAGTGTCGGCCAGGTACAGCGTCCTCACGGAGCTCAGGAAGGCGTCCCGGATGTGCACCATGGGGCTGATGAACAGAGCGTTGCCGAGGCTCAGCTGGAGGCCCTTTCTGGGCCGGGCAAGCTCCCGCAGCAGCTGGTGGAAGGCATGGTGGAGGCCCTGCTCCGAGCCTCCCTGGGGACCGAGGCCCAGGCCTTCCAGGATCTGTGCCTTTGTGCTGGACCGGGCCCCCAGGGACAGCATAGCCAGGGACATGGAGATGCTTAGAGGGGAGAAGAAGATGTTCTGGTCGGGGACAGCCATAGCCAAGGCCCTGTAGAGGTCGAAGGTGAAGTCCCTGCTGGGAGGGGCCACCGTGCTGACCATGGGTGTCTCCTTGGCCTTCTTCTTTGACTCCCGGGAGTCGTGGCGGTGCAGGGTGGCCCCCGGTGGGCTCAGGAGCATCAGGCACAAGAGGAGGCACAGCGGCATTATGGCTGACCCTCGTTCTGAAAGGGAAAGTGGGAAGCTGTCCTCAGGGAGGAGACTGGGGGGATGTCATCCCAGAGATGTCACACAGCCTCCAAGGGACATGGCGAGCCCATGAGTGAGGGTTCAAGAAGAGCCATAGGGACTCGAGGACAGACACTTGGGGATGTGGGTACCTGACGGCGGAGCGAGGCAGGAGAAGGCAGAGGGTGCAGCCCCGAGGTGGGGGCTGGCCATCAGGGTGAGAATGCTCTCATCCACACCAGGGTACGCGTTTCGGGGGGTGGGATGTGGGGGTGGACAGCTCTCCTTATTCTGCCTGATCAGCATTTCTGAGGTTGCCAGGGCATGAGAAACCCGCTTCCGAAGTGGCCTGTGACTGTCGCTCCAATCCCCTGGGAGTAGCGTTTGCAAGGCCTCACGGTCCTTCCATGAACGGACCGACCCCCCATGGACCCCTCAGGACTCCTGGGTCTGTCCTTGATCCCTCAGCAAATGTATATTGAACATCATGGCGGGGGTGGGGGGTTGCTCAGGCTCAGAGAGTCATTAATGAACACACAGAGGCCAACCAACCCCTTCCTCCTTCCCCCGGGGCTGCTCCAGGACCCTGCGGCCCACCTTGTTCTCAGAGCCCCTCCCCCACTCCCCCCACCCCACCGCTCAGTGAGGAAATTCTGCCCTCTTCGTGTGAGCAGCCCGACTCCCTCCTATTCTGTGACGGCTGAATTGTGTCCCCCAAACTCCTATGTTGAAGTCTCAACTCCCCGTACCTCAGAACCTGACTGTATTGGAGAAAGTGCCTTTAAACAGGCAATTAAGTCAAAACGAGGTCCTATGGGCGGTCATTTGATGCAACCTGACTGGTGTCCTATGAGAAGAGGCGATGAGGACACAGATACACACACACGGAGGGGAGGCCCCATGAGGACACAGGGAGACCACCGCCCGCAAGTCGAGGAGCTGAGCAGACGGGCCTCAGAAGAAACCAGCGCCCCTGACACCTTGACCTGAGACTTCCGGCCTCTGGGCATTGAGACAAGAACCTTCTGCTCTGTGCTGCTTCGTTATGGCAGCCGAGCCAAGGCATCTCTTCTTCCTTCCGTCCTCCAGATGGGGAAGCCCTCATTTCTTGTGTCTCCACCGCCTCCTACGTGGGCTCTGGGGGGTCTTCAGTGCCCCCCTTCCTCCACTGTGTCCATCTACCTAGACCCCGCCTCTGCAACCAGAAACGCTTCCTGTGCCGGTGGCCTCCCACAGTCCCCTGCAGCCCAGCCTCCTGGGTTCAAATCTCAGCTCCGCTACTTCCTCTGAGTGTGGTTTGGAGCAAGGCACTTACGGCCCGTGCCACTGTCCCCCGCCTGTACCACGGAGGTGATGACAGTCCCCGTGCTGGGACTGGCTGGGGGCTTTAAGGACTCAACATACGTGAAGTGTTGCATCAGGGCCCCGCGCAGACCGGGGGGAGTGGTAGTGTGAGCTGTGGCTGTGGCGGCGTCCAGCCAATCCCCCACCAGGATCCCCATTTCCTCTGCTGTGTCCTGGGGTACACGCTCCCACCGCTCTCACTGCGGCCTGCCTGACCGCTGATGACAGTCTTGCTCCGGGGTGAGAACTCCCTCTAGCTGGGTCTTCCTCCCCCTTGGGCATCCTGTCACCAGGTCCCCAGCCTCAGGGCCCTGCCAGAGTGACATGACCCATGCAAACCCAGCCCCCAAAGGGCCCCAAATGCCTGCACTGGACATTGTATGCAAAGTGGCCCGCTGAGGTGGTGGTGCTGGTGCCAATGAACTGGGGGGTCAGGCTGACCTGGGCTGTGATTGTCTTCGAGAGAAATCCAGTGACTTGAGCAGGCCATGCTCCAAATTGCACCCCAGCCCACAAAGGAGGCTCATTAGGAATGTTCTGTCTGCATAACCTCCAACCACCCAGGACCAAATAGAGCAGCCTCATCGATCTCCATGTCCGCTGTCCCCACCCTCTTCCCCACCATCAGCCTCACACCCTCCTCCTTGCCCTCCCTCTGTGAGCAGTGCCATTCTACAGCTGGGTAATCAGAAGCCCAGAGAGGTTGAGTCACTGGCTGACAGCGGCAAAGCGTGGGCTCAGACCCAGTTCTGACACTCAAAGCCCACGCTCTACACAGTCACACCGTTTGGCTTCCCCACACCGCTGGCCCTCCTTCTGTGTCACAGCCTCTCTGTGTCACAGTCTTTGTCGTCCCTGCCTCAGAAGCTACCACTATAGCTGCTAATCTGCAGATAGTTAAGAAACAGGGTCTGAACCTTCCAGGCTGACACTCCCTTTCTGTTTACACCCAGAGAATGGCAGCCTTTCAAGGACATGGGTGGGTGGTTTAATCTCTGTGCCCTTTAAAATGGACTCTTCTACAGCACAGTATGATCCCTCCTGTAGCGTGCTAGAACTGTCCACGGAGCAGGATCCTGGTAAACGAGCCATTCAGCTCACCTCCCCCTTATGATCAAAGATTAACGTTGAGCTGATAATCACCCTAAAAGAAAGACATTCAAAGAATAGTTGCAGACACAGAGGGTGTTTCCTGCTTGGATGGGGCCTTGAGGCAGTTGACTTGGGCAGGAGAGTTCTGGCCTCCTGTCCCTCAGCAGGCCCGGTGGCCTTGGGCTGTTCCCATCCCCTCTCTTGGCCTCAGTTTCTTCAAAAACAACTCAAGGTCTGTCATGTGCCACGGCCGGTAACCTTCTTCCCACCACTGCCCCCCCACCCCCGCCCCAACACCAGAGGTCTGGGGCTGATGGGCCAGAGCCCCTTTCCCAGAGCCCACTGAGTCCCCCTAGAGAGTGGGGTCTCTTTGAGGGGGCCCCAGCCTCACTTATTCTCCCCTGGGCTGCAGGTTGGGGATCTAGAAATCTCACTCCATCTGGGCCCACTCTCTATCTTTTATTAAAGCCACTACAAATATTACTACATTTAACTGCCAACAAAAGTAACCATTATGGACACCATTTTACAGGTGAATAAACTGAGGCTTAGCAAAATGGAATAGCTTGTGCCAGCCAGAGAGCGATCACGGAACCAGGATTAAACTCCAGATTCCTGTGTCTGGTGGACACACTGCTTCTTGTCTTCCTTTTGTGGCTCTGAGAAACGACCGCTCATTCCTCCTCTCCAGGGGCTCCTGGTGGGTTTCCCCGGGTCTCTTGCAAGCCGTTCACCTGTATTAGCTCGTTTCTACTCCCCCACCACAGCACAGACTTGGTATCATTATCGTCATTTGTACAGAAGAGGAAACAGAGGGTCAGAGAGATCGCTTCCGAGAAAATGGAGGCCTCAGGGTGCTTGTTTCATGATTCCTACTTTCAAATCCAGGCTGTGCCGTCACGCTACTGGGCCTCTGGTGGAAATGACAGAGTCGACAGAGTTTCATGCCACCTTGGAGCTGGGGGTGAGTCTGCTCTCGGTCCTGGGAGCCTGGCCCCTGGGGAGACCAGCTCTCAGCCGGGAGACCGGAGCCTGGCCTGGCCGACCCTCTCCTGGGCTCCCGATGCCAGTTTTTTGTGGAAATGCCCCACGGAGGGGAGCAGATGGTTCAAGTTCATCTGGCAACCCCAGGCCAAAGGGACTCGAGCCGGTGGGTGAGGACAGGGGTGGGCGGGTGCTGAGCAAGTCCCCCCACTGGTGCCCACCTTCCATGGACTAAAAATCTGTCGCATTTACTCCAACTGTCAGGCAACAAAGTCCTACTGGGCAACCTTGAACCCCGCTGTGGGAGGTGTGTGGCTGAGGAGGTCCATCCCCTGAAAAGGAGATGTGGGACTTGGTGCCCAGGCAGGGAGGGAAAGACAAAACCTCAGGTTCCCTGGATGCTTAAAGGGCCCGGAGAGCTTCCTGGGAGCAGTGACCTAGGCGCTTTCTTCACCCCCCCCCCCCATCTCCAGACCATCTGCGAGGCTCGTTGGTTTCTAGCTCCAGAACGGGTCTCATGCCTGCTCGCCTCTCCCCATCTTCACTGCCACGTCCTCATAGAAAACCTGCCGCCTGTCGCCCGGACCACCCCACACCTCCTCCTGCCCCCAGTCACCAACTGGGTCGCAGCGCCCGCCACCTAGGAATGCCAGCGCCGCCCTCCGTGCATGGAGCAGGACTAGCTGGTCTGTGTGATCACCACCAGGGACTGAGTCTGCCCGGCTGTCCCCAGCCTCAGCCTGATCTGCTCTGCCCTTGCTCACGTGTGTCCTCTGGAGATACTTGTCAGCTGGGCAGACAAGCCCCGTCACAGCCCTGGGCCCTTGCATGCTGTGCTGTCCCCTGGAACCTTCTGTCAGCCTCCCTGACCACGGCCAGCTTCTCCCTGGGCCCCAGGCCGCTGCTTGAATGCCACCTCTGGGTGATGCCACGTCCCTGCCCGGCCCCTCCCTCCGCAGTGCTGTTCTCTATCACGGCCTCTCCGTTACTACGCCATCAGCGATGGACGTGCAACCCCACATCGTGCCTTCTTGTGCCCCGGCCTCCCTCCCCGACTACACAAAGGACCCGCATGGACACCTGCTCTTGCTGGGAGATTGACATTTGCAGTCAAGGGGTGGTGCTCACACACCCATGTGGAATGAACGAATGAATGAATGAATGAAGTCCTTGTCCATGGTTCAGAGGTTTTAGACCACTCGCTGGATGCGGAGCCAGGCTGGGCAACCAGGGCTAACTCTGCCAGGTGACCTTGACCACCTCCCACGCTGCTGTTCACCTTCTGTTTCCTTTCTCTTTTTTAAAAACCATTTTCCTGGGGCGCCTGGGTGGCTTAGTCGGTTAAGCGTCCGACTTTCGCTTAGGTCATGATCTCACGGTTCGGGCTCTGTGCTGACTGCTAGCTCGGAGCCGGGAGCCTGTTTCAGAGTCTGTGACTCCCTCTCTCTCTGACCCTCCCCTGCTCACACAGTCTCTCTCTCTCCTAGAAATAAATAAAACATTAAAAATAAAAAATAAATAAATAAATAAATAAATAAATAAAAACCATTTTCCTGAGAGGCGCCTGGGTGGCTCAGTCGGTTGAGCATTGGACTTCGGCTCAGGTCATGATCTTGCAGTCCATAGGTTCGAGCCCCACATTGGGCTCTGTGCTGACATCCAGCTCAGAGACTGGAGCCTGCTTCAGATTCTGTGTCTCTCTCTGTCTCTCTGCCCCTTCCCTGCTCATGCTCTGTCTCTCAAAAATAAATAAATGTTAAAAAACAAACAAACATTTTCCTGAGGTGTGGCTGCCGTACGAAAAGCCACACCTATTTAGTGCGTACCCCCGTGAACCTGTTTACCGCGTCCACCCGTGATACCATCACCACCAACACCCACGCGTCCTCAACCCCCTCCCCACCACCTTATTCTTCACGCTATGGCTTCTCGATCAGCGAACTGGGATGTTGGCCAGGGGATCATCTTCCCCTTTCATGGTCGCATTTCCTGCCAAGGGCCTCATCCTTAGAAAAACTGATAATCACACTCCTTTTATGTCTACATTTTGCTCATGTCACAAATAGCCAAACAGCGTCCAGCACACAATCAGCCCCTGTGGTCGTTCTGGGAGGCAGCCTCCAGGGCGATCCCAACTCGGAAGCAGGAAGGTGGATATTTGACCACATCTCGCCGTTTCTAAAGGCCTGAGTTTGCAGACTCAGAAAACAGCAAGGAAAGCGATGGCTGGCAGAGGAGCCGGCTGTGTGCCAGACTCTCTGTCCCTACCACTTCTTTCTGAGTTTGTCTACTGCGACGCTGTCGGCATTAGAAGTCTGGTTATTCTTTGTCGTGAGGGCGGTGCTGTGCCCTGTAAAGGGTTAAGCAGCACCCTGGGCTCTACCAGATCCCAACTCAGCCCTCCTTCCAATTGTGCCAACTAAACATGTGTCCCAATGTTGCCAGCCGCCCCCTGGGGATGAAGCCACTCCTGGGCGAGAGCCACCATCTTACTGAATCCTCTCAGTCGCCATGCAGAAGATGTGATCTTTTGCATCTCACCTATAAGGAAACTGAGGCACAGCCAGATTTAGTGTCGTGCCCGGGGTTCACACAGCTGGGAGGGGGGCACACAGGCCCTGGCTCCTTCCCGGCCGCTGCGGGGAATTTTCCTGTTCACTCTGGGAAAGCGCCAAAGCTCTGAAGCCCTGCAAGTCCCATAACCCCGGCATCCCGTCCACACCCTCACGCCCACGAGCCCTCCGTCTGTCCACAGTGTCTGTACTTACTCTGTCCCATGGCTGAGCGTGCACACGGCGGAGGTGACAGCCCCTTACACTCAGTGTAAAGCAGAGATTTGGTGGGGCTGGAACCAGCATTTGTCACTGACCACAGTCAGGCTCTGACTCCGCCCCATTGGCTCTGCCCTGTTCTGTCCTGTGGGTTTCTAGCCAAAAGACTGGCTGCAGCAACAGCCACCTGAGCTCTGACCCTGGGCTCAATTCTCCACCAGCCCCACACAGACCCCTGTTTGTCTACAATGGTTCAGGGTTCTCAGGGGAATGACCTGCTGCTGGCATTCCAGACACAGGGAAAGGGATCCCCTCTGGCAAACGTCCCTCTCTCCAGGCTGATTTCTCTGTCTCCTGCAGCCACTTTGCTCTCCATCGAGGGGAGTGCAGTGTGAGCCTAAGATCTCACAGCCCCATGTGCTTGCCGGATTCCGGGTGGTGCTTGTTCGATTCATTCCATCGTGAGAATCTGGTGGAACCCAGAGGGGCTGAGGGTGTCACGACAGCTGGGTGAAGGGACCGTTGTATCCAGTGCCCTCTCTGCACTAATGATTGCATCGAGGCTCAAAAAGATGAATGGATTTTTCAGAATCATGCATCAAATTAGGGACAAAGTGGGATCAAGTGCCCACGTCGCCAACTTCAATGTCAGGGCTCTTACAAAAGGGCTGCATCTAGGATTTCTGTGGGTTCATCTGGCCCCTTTTGACCTTGAAATTGGGGCTCTGAAACTCAGCCCCACCCTTTCAAGTCCATTTCCAAGATGCTGGTGCAAGTGCTGGCTCAACCCTTGTTGCATTCCCAAGGTCCCCAAGCCTGGGGCTTCCTAATACCAGGGTGTCCCAGGTATGGCCACGACGCAGAGGTTGTGTGGGTGAGCTGGGGCATGGAGTTGACAGTGGAGACCTGGGTTCAGGTATTGCCTAGGGGGAAGTGACCTTGGTGTTCAGCAAACAGAGTCCCTCTACAGCCTCTGTGACAGGAAGGGGACTGAGCTCAGCCTCAATCTAGAGATAAACAACGTCACTACCAGGCACCAAGCACTTGCTTTGTGCTCACCACCTTCCCAATGTGCAGGAAGGTGGGTACTAGCATCCCCATCAAATCATCAAGAAGACGGAAGCAGAGAGCCGTTAGGCATTCAGCCCAAAGGCACACAGCTAATAAGGAGAAGCATTAGCAACAGGGGAAGCTAGGTGTCTTCTGTCTAGATATTGCTTTCTGTCCCTTGTGCCACGTGACATAGCAAAAGTCTTTTCTTTCCTAACCTAAAGATTCGTAAACTGTGGTCTGCGGGGTGGGAATCGTGTTAACATTTGTGCCGGGATGGCTAGCGCGTCCCGCAGAGATGTCCATGTCCTAATGCCCAGGACCTGTGAATGTTACCTTCTATCACTAAAGGGACTTTGCAGGTGTGATTAAGTTAAGGCTCTTGGAAATGGGGGAGGGGGAGACTATCACAGATTACCCAGGTGGGTCCTAGCTGTACTTACAGACCTCAACCGTGAAGGCAGAGGGAAATCAGAATCAGAGGAAGGCAATGCGATCATGGAAACCGAAGGAGAGAAGACTGCAGTGTGGGGCCATGGGCCAAGGAGCCTCAGAAGAAAGCCCTGCTAACTTCCTGATGTTGGCCCAGTAAGACCTATTTCAGACCTTGGACCTCTAGAACTTTAAGAGAATACGTTTTTGTTGTTTTAAGCCACTAAGTTTGTAATAATTAACTACAGCGGCAACAGGATGCTAGTGCAGTCATGCCCCCAAATGGGCTCCAGGTGGAAGTATTTGGGAAAGATGGGGTTAACCAAGATAGGAAGGGCTTCTCCAGCTGTGTGTGCTGTTTGCAGAGACACCCCGTGTACTACTTTCTAAGTCTATATTATACGGAATATCTTGAGAATCTGGGGAAGGGCTGTGGCAGCCCTTGACTCTGCTTGCCCACTCAGGAAGGGGGCAGAAGCTGGGAAAGGTTTTGGGGGTGGGACGCTGTTCTCAGGGCCTGGTGCCTCATGTATTAGCCCGCTAATGAGGCTGCCATAACAAAACACCATAGACTGGGAGCTTAAAGGGCAGAAATTTATTTTCTCCCGTTTCTGGAGGCTGTCAGTGCAAGATCAAGGTGACACCACATGTGGTTGCTGGTGAGATCTCTCTCTTCCTGGCTTGCAAACGGTGCCTTCCAACTTGGGGCTCACATGGGCTCTTTGTGCTTAAGGAGACAGAGGGAGAGAGGCAGCTGTGGTGTCTCTTTCTCTTCTAATAAGGACATCATTCCTGTGAGATTAAGACCCAACCTATGACCTCATGTAACTTTAATTGAGTTCACTAAAGGCCCCATCTCCAAATATAGTCACATTGGGGGTTAGGGCTTCAACATATGAATTTTGGTGAGGGGCCACACTCAAGTTCATAACAGCCACAGTGAGAGGGTAGGATGGGCAAGTGGCCAGAATATGGGAATTTAAAGAACCATATCATTTGTGACACATTTATTTTTTGATTAACACCAAGAGCAACAGAGAACATCATCCCCAACAGGTGAGTTTCATCCGGGGCAGAGGTGGGTTCTGCTCAGCCCACCAAGTGTAACAATGCTGAGCAGAAATGTCTTTAAATAAACAGGGACCTTGGGGTGCCTGAGTGGCTCAGTCAGTTAAGCGGGTGACTTTGGCTCAGGTCATGATCTCATGGCTCGTGGGTTCGAGGCCCGCGTCGGGCTCTGTGTTGACAGCTCAGAGCCTGGAGCCTGTTTCGGATTCTGTGTGTGTCTCTCTCTCCCTTTCTCTGTGCCCACCCCCACTCATGTTCTGTCTCTCTCTCTCTCTCAAAAATAATAAATAGACATTTAAAAAATTAGAAAAAATAAACAAACAGGGGCCTTTACTGACCCACCTGCCTGGACCCCAACACTGTGAGCCCACTTTACCTGTTGAGACCTGCCACCTCTGGCAGCCATATGAGGTTGTCACTGTGCTCTAGAGGACAGGGTTGTGACAAAAGATGAAATGCAATAAAAGTTAACAGCCGCTTCTCAGAAAAGGACTCCTTGCAGTGTTTTTGCTCTGTCAAAGTAAATAGAGTTAAAACAATTTTTTTAATACATTAAAAAAAGAATAGCCCATGTCACGTACTGTGATGGGTTAAACTGTGCCCCAGCCCAATTGAAGTCCTAACCCCCCACCACAGAAGTTGACCTTATTTGAACATACGGTCATTGCGTATAATTAGTTACGACAAAATCAGACTGAAGTAGAGAGGACCCTTAATCCTGCATGACCAGTGTCCTTATAAAAAGGGGAGGGGCGCCTGAGTGGTTCAGTCAGCTAAGCATCTGACTTCAGTTCAAGTCATCATCTTATGGTTTATGAGTTCGAGCCTCACGTCAGGCTCTGTGCTGACAGCTCGGAGCCTGGAGCTGCTGGGATTCTGTGTCTCCTTCTGTCTCTGTCCCCTCCCTTGCTCTCTCTCTCTTTTTCAAAAATAAACATTTTTTGAAAACTAAATAAAATAAAATAACATAAAAAGGGAAATGTGGACACAGACATGCCCACACGGAGAATGCCACAGTTTGCCAGCAAACCACCAGAAGCTAGGAGGGAGGCCCGGAAGATTCTCCGTCACAGCCCTCAGAAAGGACAACCCTTCCAACACCTTGATCTCGGACTTGCAGCCTCCAGACTGTGGACGATACATTTCTGTGGGTTAAACCACTCAGCGCTTGCTGCTGTGTGTGATGGGATCCCAGACAAACTAATATACTCAGTCATCGGCAGCGGCCAGATTCGAACCCAGGCATTCTGGCTCCAGCATCTCGGTTCCATGAATGAGTGTTCTGTGGCCTCTGGGTACCTCCTGGAAACACGCGCCCCCACACCTTGCTCACTGTGGGTTCTCAGGGCCTGGGTGCTATTGAGCTTACAGTCGCCGCTTCTCAGAAAAGGACTCCTCTGGGGCACCTGGGTGGCTCAGTCGGCTAAGTGTCCAACTTCGGCTCAGGTCATAATCTCGCAGTTCGTGGGTTCGAGTCCCGCATCGGGCTCTGTGCTGAACACTTGCTCAGAGCCTGGACCCTGCTTCAGATTCTGTGTCTCCCTCTCTCTCTGCCCCTCCCCACTCATATTCTGTCTCACTCTCTCAAAAATAAATAAATGTAAAGAAATTAAAAAAAAAAAAAGAAGAAGAAAAGGACTCCTCTGCCTTCCCAGGCAGCCAGGGATGGAGCTGGCTCCTTCCTGCCACTCGTCTGGCCCAGCAAGAGCCAGGAGTCCCCCATCTGCCTCTTCAGGGGGTCCCGTGTCCATCCTCTCCCTGCTGCTGGAGCTGCTGCGGGGCTGTGTGCCCACTTACAGCTGGGACATGCACGTTGAGACCCAGAGAGGTGACGTGCCTGCCCCGCAGGACAGGGCTGGTGGGGAAGCAGGGGCCGCACCCCTCCTCACTTCACTCCAGATTTCACGTGCATCCTCCTCCCCAGGGAGAGGCCCTAGTTCCTGGGCAGTGGCCAGTCCCCCCGCTTAGCGACTCTGTTGAATGACTGAGCGAATAACCGAATGAACCCATGTTGCATCTCCCAAGCGGCGTCATGAGGGCCCACACAAGTAAGGGACCCCACAGGAGAGCAGCAAAGGAGACAGGAAGGAGTCCCGGGCCCCGCTCTGGGAAGGGGGTGGGGATTAGGCGCCCTGCGTGGATTCTTCATGTTTATTTATCGGTTTAATATTCCACAAGGGCATTTAGAAATCTGAGGAGTTGGAATAAAAAATATTTACCCAATCAATTCCATGTATGTGTCAGGGGGTGGTGATGCAGAGCAAACAGCTCATGGGGACCTTGCTCAGGGCACAGCTTTTTTAATTCATTCATTCGCTCATTCACTCACTCATTCATTCACCAAATATTAATTGAGCCTCAGCCACATGCCAGACCATACAATCAGCTCTGGGGCCAGGTTCCAGGGTAAGTGAGGGAAATGTGGGGTGAAGGGCCCTACCTCCTTCATGTCCTGTCTACTCAGGGCCCGGGGAACAGAGAAGACTGTCAGTCAACCATGTTTGATGGGAGAATGGCAGTCTACCTTGGGGAGGGCGTGAGGCTGGCAGATTCTCAGAGACGAGGAAGGGGGTGCTCTGGGTGATGGGGGCCTGCAGGAACGAAGGCTCAGGGTGCAACCTATGAACAACCTAGGGAAACAGCAAGTTTCTGTGGCTTGAGTCTTTGGGCCCAGGAGTGCAGGAGGAGGGACTGAGGCAGGAGAGGCAGGCGGGAGCCAGAGTGTGAGGGCCTTGGCTGCAGATAGAGGACTTTGAGCTTTAGTCTGTAGGCAATAGGGAGCCACAGAGTGCTTCTGAGCAGGGGAAGGGGCTTCATCAGAATATGGCAGCATCCCTCTCAAGGCTGAACTGAGGGTGACTGCTCCCCTTCTCTCCCCTTCATCACACTGAGGCTCCCCCTTCACATACCCCCCAGGGAGTGCCGGCCACAGCAACCACGGGCCTTGGGCTTTCCCCACTGAGGGGCTTGAACCCACCCACGCACCTGTTTCTATAGGAGCAGAGTTGGGAGTGTCAGCCTGGGCCTGGCTTTATTTCTTGCCTGATCACTAAAAAATAGAATTCAACTTCCCAATAGGTGCAGGGAGATGCAGACCAATATTTTCGGTAACATATGTTCTTCTCAGCCCATCAAACCAGGGGATGGACAGGAGGGTCTATGGTCCTCCGAGCAATGGAAGGCACCATGGTCCTGTGGCATTTACAGGTCCTTGTCCACACAGCTTGGGGCTGGTGTGACAAGCACTTCATTTGGGATCTTTCTTTTATCAATGTTGGCCCAGGGCTGTCCTGTCCAGCTCAGGGCTGTATTTTAGAGTCAAGGGGCAAGAATCCTGAAGTCTTCCCTTCCCATCCTCTCCCGCTTCCTTTTGCAACGATTTCTTCCACCATAAAAAAGCAATGTCTCCTACTCTGGATACTGTTTCGTGGTTTCCCACAACGAGCCTATTCTGTACTTGTGGCATTATTTGGGCCAGGGACCACATCCATCACACAATCCCAGCAATGTTGCAGCTCGTGGTCAACCATCAATGCTGGAGGTGGCCCTCAGCATGTCTCTTCAGTCACCAGGTGCAACCTCCTGCCTTGGCCACACCGGCTGAGAAGAAGATCCACGGACTCTTCCTCGGGAAATGTGTTTGCCCCAAATCACTGAGGCTTGGGGACCAACACAGCCAGGTGCTGTCAGCCCACCTCCTCCTGGGGGAGGGCTGGAGGTTTATTCTCGAAGCCTCTGGGTGGACCCTGATCAGAGAATTCACCTCGCATACCAGGGATGTCTGAACTGGACCACCTGGGTCAGCCCATACTACCCAGGTGGGGAAACTGAGGCCCAAGAAGGGAAGGCATTTGGCAGAGGCCCTGGAGCGCATCATTAGAAGTTGGGGATATTAACACAGGTGCCCAGGTGTCAGTCTCAGGCTCTTTCTTCTTCTGCAGCGCATCCGTGACCATGGCCATGATCTGGGGAACCGGCCACATCTCCATGGCCAAAGGAAGGGGCAGTGCCTGTGCTCTCCAGGTGGCTGCCTGCCTTGCAGGGCTTTCCTCATTAGGTCCCTGTGGAAGCTGCCTCGACTGTGCTCTCCCAACCAAGGCCTTCCGTGCCCCTGCTCTGAAACCAGGTATCCATCCTGCCCAGGACAGCTGGCTGCCCACACCGCTTCTCCCTTCCATACGCACCTTGCCAACCCCCTGGAACCTGGAACATCTCACCCAAATGTCTGCAACCAGCTCTGCCAAGGCCATGCAGGGCAAAACCCAAAGCGATGGAAAACAGGGATGCATTTATTGAGTATCTACTATGTGCGAGGCACCAAACCAGGTTCCTCATAGCCAGCATTTTGTTTAATCCCTTCAAACACCTGGCAAGGTGTCTCCCACTCTTCCGGGTGGCGCTCAAAGCAGTTAGGCGATCTGCCTGAGGTGGCACTGCCCCGAGGAGCTAGGTGTCCAGTCCACACGCACCTCGCACCATCCACGTCCCTCTCCCTCACCAATAGCCTTTTCTGCCCCGGATTCTCAGAATCTTCTTGTGTACATGGCTCCAAACATGGATCTGCTCACACTGAGTGCCCCAGGCCACATCCTCTGGCTTGTCACAGAAGAGCCAGCCCTGGGAAGGCTATGGTTTCGTGGGGTTGACAACCTTGCCCAGAAAGAGGATGCTCTGGGTATCGGTGGAAAAGATGACCACAAGGAAGGGCCGGTTGAACCGGAGGACCCCACGACTGTGCCGGGCGGACAGAAAGGTGATAAAGCTGCCAGTGGCCGCTGCAGCCTGGGTGCCAGCCTCGTCCACCTCCAGGATGGCTTTGTGGAAACTCTAGGAAGGAAATCACAAGTGTTACCTCCAATAGAACATGAACCAGGACTTAGGGAAGCCTGGAAGAACCAGAGATCGCTGAAGATCAACACCACAGTTCACTGCTGGTCAAGCCACTTGTTGATATCACAGCAGGATTGTCTACACTGGGTGAGTTGTTGAGCTGGATGCCCTCTAATTTACAGAAATAATTCTTTCTATCAGCAACTGGACACTTACTACGAGCCCAGGACGCTTTTTAAATCTTCATGACCACCCTGAAAGGTTAATGCATTATGGCTGGTTTACAGGTGAGGAAAATAAATCCAGACACTAGATGGCTCTTTACCGCTATAAGGGAAGGAACTGGAATTCAACTCTGCTACTCAAGGCTCTCCCTGATAGTGCACTTTTGTCTTCCTCACTGAAATCCTGGTCTCTTTCTCTTGTCAAAGGAATCTCTGATACACCCACCCAGCCCAGCCTGGTCTGTCATCCTTTCTCTATCAATGTGTCACTCTCCATTGTGGGGATCTAGGGAGCCCAGTTGGCTGCAAGAGCTCCCTGAAGACAGGGATTGGGTAGACACCATATTCCCAGTGCCAAGCAGCACGCCAGCATGTGGTGGGTTTGTTTGTGGAAGCCCGTGCCTGGGGATGGTTGAATGACACTCGAGCTCAGAGACTTCACGTGGCGGCAGAGAGAACACGCATCACCTGGCAGCTCCCAAGGGGCAGCTGTTCCCCACCGCGTCTCCAGGCATTGATGACCACCAATGACTTACTTTGGATACCTGCAGCTTTCGCTCTTCAGTGATGCCGGACAAGTCAGCCTTCTGCGAGAACACATCCACAAAGCCCAGTTTGGGCAAAATCTGATGTAATTTATAGGAGCCAGAAATGGAGAACTTGGGGAAATGCAACTCGAGCTTCCTGTAAAGGTACCTGAAGGAGGCATGGGGTTAAAACACTGGACTCGGGAACAAGCAAGGGACCCCAGCACACTGTGTCCACCCTGCCTGCACCCTCTAGCTGGACCCACTCCACCTGACTTCTGCCACCACAAACACAAACACCGTTTGCTCAGTGCTCCCAGGGGCTTAGAGCCAGGTCCCCTTTGTCCCCAGGGCCTGCTGTCTGCAGGACCTCCTCCCTTGGGAGCTCATCTTCAGCAGAGATGGTTTTCCGTGGGCCCCAGGTGTTTTCTGTGTTTTCCCAGGTGCCCAGGCAGATGCAAGTCTCCCCTCTCCTCTCCCACTTTTGCCTTTGCTTCTGTTGGGGTCCTGTGGTTTTCACTTATTTGGGACCAGATGATTTCTTTGGCTAGGATTCCTCTATCCCATGAGCTGTGTGAATTTTCCATCCACACGTGGCCTTGGGTTGAGGCCCTTTTCTTATATGTGGTTGGAAACATTTCCCACTCATAGCCCCAGAGTGATGTGGAAATTCCTGGCTACTTCCTTGATGGGCAGCTGGAGTTTTCTTAAGTCCCTCTATCTAACCATCTTGACCAGAGGTCTACGCCTTCACTGCACAGGGCGGACCCTCAGAGAGCCAAGGCCACGCCACCCAAGCCCTGTGCTGTATGAGGGTTACATCTAGAACCAGGACTCTTAACTCCTAGTCTGGTTCTCTTTTCACTGATAAGGGCAAAATCCTACCTCAGATGTAACAGGAGACTTCGCTATTTGCGGAAACTCAGGGAATGTCTTAAAGCAAAAGAGAATTCTTTCGTAATTTGGCAATCGCCCCCAGTATGGGGCACTGGCTTTCCTCAGGAGTGTCCGTTTGAAGGGCAGTGCTGTGGACTCAGCCCACACATCACACTGATTACCTCTTCTGAAGCAACCTGTTCCACCTTGTTAACATCTCTGGAGTCAAGACTTCCTCCACCTGCTTCATTTCCCCTCGGTTAGGAAGGATGAAAAAGGCCATCGCGTTTCCTTTGTAATCCATCCGCAGCACTGAGCAGGGCAAGTATCTGTCGTGAAGATACCAGTGATGCTCTGTGTCCTGCAGCATCATAGGAACCTTGACCACTGTATTCTCATCAACGTAGAAGTCTTGGGGAGTGGTCAATGAGGGAACGAATGGTTTCTCCCACAGAGCTGAAGGGAAGAAGGGAAGAAGGTACAAAGCACCCTGTGACCAACAAGCCAACTGTCCAGCCAGGAGATGCCTCTCCAACAGTGGCGGAGACCTCCACCTTACAATTTCATCACGGCATATCATTTAGACCATTCCGAACCTGACCTGCCTAAGGAATGGATCTCTCAGGCTCATTTAGATTCTAAAATATGAGATACAAAAAGGTATCAGCAAAGTTGTTTCCTGTCTTCGCCATTGAATTTACATGGCGGCACTTAATTTTTTTTGCCAACCTGATGTTTCTGTAATGGTAGCTCATTATGGCTTTGTAGCGCACTTTTTTGGTTAAAAATGAGGTTGAGCAATCTTTTGTATGTTTACTGACCTATTGACCAACTAAATGTCCTTTTTTTTTTTTTTTTGCATCAGTGCCAGATCATGGTTTTTTCCCCCTTTATTTGTGTGGGGCTGTTTCTTAGTGACTTGCAGGAGTTCTTTCTGAACATTAGCTGTGCATCAGTTGTGTGAGTTGCAAATAACTGTTCTCCCTCTCTGACTTGTCTTTTCACTCTCATGATGGTGGGTTTTGGTGATTGAAATTATTATTTTTTTATTTTTTAAAGTTTCTTTCTTGATTTTTGAGACAGACAGACAGACAGACACACACACACACAGAGCGAGGGAGCACGCCCAGGGCAGAGAGAGAGAGAGAGAGAGAGAGAGAGAAAATCCCAAGCAGGCTCTGCACTGACAGTGAAGAAGGCACTAGGCTAGAACTCATGAACCATGAGATCTTGAACTGCAACCATAAGTCAAATGCTTAACTGACTGAGCTACCCAGGTGCCTTGGTATTTGAAATTCTTTAATGAAGTGAACATATTCGTCTTTTCCTTTGTTATTAGGTCTTCTGTGTCTTGTTTAGGACAACTTTCCCTCCATATATATAATGTATATAGAATAGAAGCTTTGCTTTCCTTTTGCAAAAAGCACTTTAATCCACCTGGAAGGAATATTTACAATTGGTAGAAGGGAGGGGTCTAAACCCATGTGTTTTTCATTGTGGGGACCTAGTTTTCCCAGCACCAGTTTTTTTTAAATCCATTTTCCCCAGTGCTCTATCATGGTGGCGATATCAGATGTCCAGGTATCTATCCATGGCGCCATTTATGGGCTCTGTTCTGGCCTCACTCTTCTGACTCATTGGTCTACTTGTACCACACGGTCTAAATTAATACAGATTTATGACAAGGTTGGCACTCTGGCAGCATCGTAGCTATTCTTGACCTTTTGCTTTCTCATATACATTTTAGGCTCAGCTTGTTAACTGCTTCCCAAAAGAAAAAAAGAGAACCTGTTAGGATTTTGATTGGGATTACATTAAATATTTAGATTAATTCATGGGAGAATTGACATCGTTACCATATTGTCTTCCTTTTCTATGAATATGATACATTGGTGTTTTTTTATTATTTTTATTTTTTTAAGTTTACTTACTTTTGAGAAAGAGAGAAAGAGAGAGAGCAAATAGGGGAGGGTCAGAGAGAGAGGGAGACACAGAATCCTAAGCAAGCTCAAGGCTCCAAGCTGTCAGCACAGAGCCCAACACAGGGCTTGAACTCACAGACTGCGAGATCATGACCTGAGCCAAAGTCGGACACTTAACTGACTGAGCCACCCAGGCAGCCCAATATACCAGTGTTTTTTTTAAAGTTTAAGTCTACTTTAACATCTCTCAAGAGAATCCTCTCTACAGAGTACCTGCGCGTCTTTTGTTTGTTTTCTTCTAGGTACTTTTCAGTTTTGAAGATAAGCCACAATTTTGCCATTCTCTCACCATGTGACCTACAGTGAGGACTGGGTTAACTTCATGTCCCCAAAGTGTTGAGCAGATGTGTCAGCAGCCAGGATGCCTCTATCTCCCTTCTATTTCTGGAGAACCTCTCTTTTTCATGCCAACAACACTAAACCAGCCTGAGCTAAGTTTCTTTCAGAAGAGAGCGCCCAAACCTTTCATTATTTATAATCAGAGCCTGGGGTGGGCCGATGGTGTGTATTATACATTTAAATTATATTTTAAGAGAATGGCATCCCGTAGACTATCATGTAGGCACTAGGTAAGACCTAAATAGAGTTTTCAATAACATAAAACTATACACACACAGGAATGCATGTAAAACCTGGTGAAATCTGAATAAGGTTGTAGATTGCACCAATGTCAAGTTCCTGGTATTGTTATTGTACACTTACATAACGTGATCTAGGATAGCCTGCGTGGAAGTTGCATGGGATCTCTCTGTACTACTTTTGCAACTTCCTATAAGTTTATGGTTATTGCAAAATTAAAAAGGTTTTTTAAAAGGTTTTTAAAAAAGGTTTCAATGTTGCATGACAAATTCCCTGTGTAAAATGCAAGGATAAGAAATTTGGCTGGATTGTTAGTCTGGCTGGGAACGTTTCCCAGAATCTGTGCCCTGTAGAGTCTGGGTTCAAGGTGGTTACAAGCGCGAGGTGGGGAGGTAGATGTGAAGCAAGCACAATACCCTGAAGGTCCTTGCAAGAAGATGCGATGATGGACAGACATAGTGGAGCCCTGTGTGCTCCGGCTCATCCATGCTGTCCTCCAAGTTCATTGTCCAACAGTAGCTCTCCTGACCAATAGTGTCCCCAAGACACCACCATGTGTCCAGCACGGGCCTCTTCACATGTTCCCATTACGTGGAGCCACTGTGGGGGCTGAAAGCGCCTGATGTATATTCCCCTGGTAAGCTCCAAACTTCCTGCACGGAAGACTTCACTCTGTCCCTCCCACCCCTGCTTCCTCCAGACCTTCACGTCCCCACAGATATGCAAGGTCCAACTCCTGTAGCAATCCCCTTTCCCTTAACACTTATAGTTTTGCTTCTCTGATGGAACGCTGATGGTGCCCGCCATGTGAAACTGTCCTCACACTGTAATTTCAATGGTTAACATGTGAGTGTGAGTAGAAGACCAGAATGAATTAGGCGAAAATGTTAACATTTTTGGTTGCCTCAGGTGGCAGGATTAGGGGCAATTTCTTTTTCTTTTTAAGTTTATTTATTTTGAGAGAAAGAGAGAGAGAGAGAGAGAATGAGCAGGGAAGGGGCAGAGAGAGAATCCCAAGCAGGCTCCGTACTGCCAGTACAGAGCTCCACACAGGGCTCAAACTCACGAACCCCGAGATCATGACCTGAGCAGAAACCAGGGCTCAGATGCTTAAACAACTGAGCCATCCAGGCGCCCCTGGGCAATTTCTATTTCTCTTTTATACTCTTATGTGTTTTTAAGGATCTTCAAAATGGGTATTATCCTTAGATTAATTACAATTACTCTAATTGTTTATCGAGTATATATAATGGTCAGGGGGTGCTAAACTTCTTTTGTGAAGGGCCAGAAAGCAAATATTTTAGGCTCTGTAGCAACTGCCTATCTCTGTGGCTGTGTGAAAGCAGCCTAGGGACAATGCATAAGTAAATGGGCATGGCTGTGTGCCAATAAAACTTTATTAACAAACACAGGTAGTCCATCAGATGTGGCTGGGGGCTGTAATTTGTCTATATTTTTAGGCCCTCTTCTAAGGAGGACACATATCTGTGCCATGATTTGATCCTCAAAACAGAACTTTGAAGGGGGTATTCCTAAACAACAACCTTCCCTGTTTACATTCTTGGTAAATGGCAACGCTTCCTTATGAATCCAGAAGTTCAACTTGTACATTTCATACATTACTGTTACTAAAAAAAAACAAATAAGAAAATGTATCTAAAGATAGGAGGGTATGGAAACCTCAATGCTACTCACTCTTAAATATCTGATGCTCTCACATGAGTCTGCTAAGGGTTGCTTGGCCCTATCTGACCCCATCTATCCGCTTTTTTTTTTTTTAATTTTTAATCCATCTATAAATCGGGGAGACACAGGACCCACCGATGAACTGACTCTTACCTTTGAAGTAAATGTAATTCACCAGCACCATCGCGATGTCCGTGCTCAGGCCGCTGACCAAATCCACAATCTTCCCTTGAGTTTCCTCCCTGACGTGGTCATTGATCAGCCGGGTGGTGCCCTCAGTGTCGTGGAAGTCGGCGAGGAAGGGCTTGGACTCGTAGAAGGCCACGCTGTCGTTTAGAAATCCCGGAAGGATCTGCAGCTCCTGGCTCAGGAACAGAGCGCTGCCTGCGTGCACCTCCAGCCCGTCTCCCGGGAGGTGGAGAGTGTGCAGGAGGTGCTGGAATCCCTGGTGGATGTCTGACTCAGACACCTCCGTGAGGTTGAAGCCCAGACCCTCAAGGATCTGGGTCTGGGTATGTGAGCGGGCGCCCAGGGACAGCAAGGCGTAGGAGGAAGAGATGCTCAGCGGGGAAAAGAAGATGTTGCTCCCAGGGCTTTGGGAAGCCATCACGTGGTAGAGGCGGAGAGCAAAGACTGTATTGCCTGGGGCAACCTTGAGGCCGGGGGAGCCCTCACCTGTGCTCGGAGCCTCCTGATAGCCAAGGTGACCCTGGCTGCTGTGCTCAGGGAGCAGCTGACTGTGAGATGTGACCAGTAGCCCAGCCAGAAGGAGGAGCAGGTGGCTGGCAAGATGCATCTTCTGCACTCTCGGGGCTGTAGGAGGAAAGAGAGTTTCCAGGTAATGCCCGAGCAGGATGCCCAACTCTACTGAGAAGTCGGGGAAGGACAGTGCCCCCCGGTGATAGGCAACATGGTCAATTCTTGCAGATGGGCTTGTGGCAGACTAGCAAACACCTAGCAGCTTCCCAGTGTGGGTGAAGATGACATTCTGTGGATTAACAAAGCACATTCCTGGCGCCCCCACCATCTCCTGGCGTTTCCCATTCCTGTGAGCTCTGCAAAGCACCGGCCTCCATTCTTGTCACTGAGAGTCCCCAAACAACAGAATCAGGTCACCTAACTGGTAAATATCTGAGCTAGACCACAAGTCTCCAGACTTGTGGGGCTCCTTTTGCCCTTTAGCTAATTTCTTCAGCCCAGTGACCCACTGCACCGAGGGTGCGAATCACCAAAGTTTAGCATCTACTCCACAAACATCCATGGTGTGCCTTAGCGTACAAAACCACTTTAATGCCATTTTGTCTGAGCCTCTTACCCAGGCAGAGGTCAGTAGAACAGGCATTCTTACCTTCACTCCATGCAGGTAAGATCACTGATGTTCAAACACTGATTTGCCTGGGGCTCCTGGGTGGCTCAGTCGGTTAAGCATCTGACTCTGGATTTTGGCTCAGGTCATGATCTCATGGTTGTGAGATCGAGTCCTGCTTTGGGCTTTGCACTGAGTGTGGAGCCTGCTTAAAATTCTGCCTCCCTCCCCAGCTCTCTCTCCTTCTGTCTCTCTCTCTCTCAAAACAAAACAAAAAACAAAAAAAGAACAACCCCCCCCACCCACCAAACACCAAAACAAAACAAAAAACAAAAAACCCTGAATTGCCCAAAATTCCAGGAAAAGGATTGGTCTCTTTTCTTAATAAACTTAACCTACCCAATCAGGCTGCTCGATTTTCTCCCCTAAATCTGCTCTGCCACATCGGATGGCCCTACTGTTATTATCGGGTTCTCAGCCCCCAAGCCAGCTATCATGCCTAACCTGGCTCTGGCCCTCGGATACCACCCCCACCCCAGTCAATCTTTCCGCATATCCTGCAGGCTCTTCCCTTAACCTCCTGGCCTCCCCACCGCTATGACCCCCACTCAGGCCTCCAGCGCGGCTCACTCAGACACCGCAATGCCAGCTGCACCTACCCAACCTGACTGTGCTGGCTGGAAAGTGGCCACTCGCAAGGCAGGCTGCTGTGTGGCTGGGGTCCAGTGGAACTTTATTAATGGACGATGAAACATGAATTTCATATACATTTCATGTGGCACAAAATATTGTCCCCCTTTAGATTTTTTCCAGCCATTTACACATTTTATGTATTTATATTTATGCTGTATATTTATATTATATCTTGCATTCCTTGCTCAGGGGCAGTACAAAAATTGGCAGTGGGCCAGATTTGACCCTCGTTTGCTGAGCCCTGACCTAGACCATTGTAGCTTTCTAAGTAACTGGTCTTTCTACTCTGATTTCCACCTGGGAGCTGCAGTGATGGCTTAAAAACATACGTTGGATCACTTCACTCATCTCCTTAACACCCGTCGCCGTAGCATGGCTTCCGACCAGGCTGTAACACCTTCTCCCGTCCTAACCTCCATAGGATTTCCCTCTGGCAGGAACTCCCCACGAGCACCTGTGTCAGGGGCCAGAAGTGGCCTTGCAGGAGGCTGTTTCTGGCCTGCAGCACCGGTGCAATGAGGAGGCTGGTGGTGTTAGGTGTGGGGGTCATTCCAGCCCTAGGGTCTGTCATTTCTAGGTCCTTCTGAGTCTCAGCACCGGAAGTCTTATGTCCCGGAGCCCCCAGTCCTGGACAAACTAGAACTTGGTCACCCTCCCCTTTGAGTCTCAGATGCGGCCCTCAGAGAGTTACTCACGGTCAGTCCGGGTGTGGCCCTCGGGCGGCTGTCTGAGTGCAGGGGGGGCCCAGGAACGTGGCCTGGGTCTGTCAAGCCCAGGAAGGTTGGCAAAACCCCTCAGCACCCCCGGCACCACCCACCACCTTCCCGATTAGGTAATTATTAATGAACAGATCCATGGGTGCCGTGTGGAGTCTGAACACAGGGAAACCTCACTGCAAGTTGGCCCATCCCCTCCCACGAGAAACCCCCCTTCCCTCCGGCGGGTGGGGGGAGGCTCCAACAGAATTTATCCCTTGTTTGCATCACACAAGGTTTGCGTGGCACATGCTGAGGCCCAGGGGCTCCCTTAGTGGATGTGGTCTTCATAGTGCCCCTCATTGGCCATGTGAACTTGAGCACATCTATTTCCTTCTCTGGGTTTGTCATGCCCACCCATCCCATCCCCCACCACCTCCTGCAGAATGAAGAAGTAGGCCAGACCAGGGGCAGCAGACCCCAGGGCCTCACAAACTTGGTAAGGAGGCTTTCAGGGTGATGTAATGGAGAATGGTGGGCACGTGACACTGGGGAGAGTTAGCTCTCTGCAACCATCAACATCAATCCGGGCGCTGGGTCCTGCCCCGCCCCCCAGTATACGATTGCCACCCCCCGCCCCGGACTATGTGATTGCTGAACAGACTTCCAGCTTTAAAGTTAACACGATTCTGTGATGGAATCCTCCGAGATGCCACATGTTGGCCTTCGAGAAGAGTGAGGCCCAGGGGCAAGGGTGGCATGGGGTGGGAGCAAACCCCTCCTTGGGATGGGAATCCAATTGTACATTTTCCTTTTTAATTATGGATCTTAAAGCTGCTTTATCTCCAGTAAGCAGTGAGCTTCAGCATCCTTGGACCGTTCGGGAGCAGTTGAATATGTAAGGGACATGTGGCTTTTTATTAGGCCCACTGGGGAAGGAAGCAATATGGCCACTGATATTCCAAATGAAATGCCCTTGACATATGGCTGTTTCTTAAGCCCACTGGGGAAAGAAACAGTATGGCCATCGCTAGCCTGAATGAGCTGCCCTTGACATTCAGGCTTCCTCCTGTAAGCGTTTCTGAATGTGTCCAGGCACTTGGAGCTTTAGCTTGAGTGGAATATATACCATTGAGCAGCAAGATTGGGCAGGGAGCCCTGATCTGGGCAGGGCACAGAGTGGTAGAGTAGGTACAAGCACAGGCTTGGACCCAGCCGCCCTGAGGTTCAGGGGCATGTCCAAGTTCGCACAACAGAAATGCATCAACACCAGGGCAACAGAGAAACTTACCGGGCTGACAGGAGTTCGAATATGACTTCACTTGCTTCCTCCTCTCACCACACACGTGCACACACCAACCCCTCCCCACCCTCCTGAAGGACGTTCCTTATCCCATTTTACAGATAAGATAATGAAAGTCCAGAGAATTGCTAGCTCAGATTCCAGAGTTAGACTGAAGCCCACGTTCTTTCTCTGTTTGGACAAACCTGACATTCTTCTAGAATATTCGCTCCAGTTTTGCTTTCCACTGAAACTCATGTGCTAGAACATGTGTGCACACAGTAGGTGTTCCATCCATGCTCACTGAGTAAATGAATGAAAGAAAGATGGTTATGGATTCATGAGTGTGAAAATAAATTATTCCCTTTCCAGAGTCAACAGTTTGGGTTTTCCTTCCTTAGCTGGTTTCTGCAGTGAGTTAGAGCCCGATGCGGTGGATTCCAGGGGTCAGTGTGTGCGTGGTTACAGCTGGAGGGACAGGTGGCCTGACCCCGGTGTGAGCACATGGAGACTGCCCTTTGGTTCCTGGACCCTGCCCCTGCCCCTGGCTTTGAAGTTAGGCACCGCTGCTGCTGAGCGGGTTAACCCCGGGCAAGCCCCTCTACCTCTCTGAGGCTCGCTTCCCTCACCTGTCAAAGGAGGAGCCATCGCTGATTGGAAAGGCAGACGTGAGGGGATCCAGCATCCTCAGTGTGCTGCGCTCCAGTCTAGCCCAATGGAGTTTCCTTCTTCCCTTCCAGCTTCTTGCAGGGGTGACAAGAACAGGGAGTATAGGGCCCATCCCAGCCCCAGCACCGGCTAAGTTACTTCCTTTGCTTCTCATCTGTCAGCTGAGGGCACTAAGCATTCCAGATCTTGGCGTTGTCATGAGAAGTCAGTAATTCATGTCTGCAAAGTGCTTAGAGTAAGTTTTGGCAATAGTAAGTGCAACGTAAGTGTGAGTTATTCTATGGTATTACTCCAGATGGTTTGTACTCCATTCATTTATCCCTAAATGTGCAAATATGGCTAAATCAGTCTTTTTCTTGTTAATTAAAAAGAATTTAATGTTCATTTATTTTTGAGAGAGAGACAGAGTGTGAGAGGTGGAAAGGCAGAGAGAGAGGGAGACACAGAACCTGAAGCAGGCTCCAGGCTCTGAGCTGTCAGCACATAGCCTGACACAGGGCTCAAACTCACAAACCACAAGACTATGACCTGAGCTGAAGTCGGAAACTTAACCCACTGGGCCACCCAGGCCCTGGCTAAATCAATCTTTTTAAACATTTTTTTTCATCGTGGTCCTGACAGAGTATCTCAAGAAAGTCTTGGACTCTCCCTGAGATATGCACATACTTCCAAATTTTACAATTTAGGGAGTTTGTTGAATCGCTCATAGTCCTTATGGTCCCTGTGTGTCAGGATAGTCATTTTCTCCCACAGAAAACATTCTGCATAAAGGAAAGATGGAAAGGACCTTCCCATCTTAAAGGAGTCACCCCTCCCCCATCCCCCACCCCCTACCCCTACTGAGGGCACGGAGGATGGGGACCAAGGGCGGGCAGCTCTGACAGCAGGCTGGGCTTGGCCACAAACTCAGCTCACTCCCGCCCAGTATTTGGCTGCTTGCTGTCCTCGGGCCTCTGGGTGTGCTTACGGAGTGTGAAAACTGCACGTTATACCCTGCAATGCCAGGAGTTTCTCATTACACATCTGTGTGGTGTGAGAGAGCAATAGATCACGTCACAGTCAGATTTGTTTCTCTGTAGCAGAACAGAACTGGCTTAGAGAAGACGCCTCATGGAAGTGTATGAATGAATGAATGAATGAATGAATGAATGAATGAA